TCTATTGAAGTTAGATTTAAAGTAGCTTTAACAACCAGTTTGTTACTTAAGACTTTTAAGTATTTAAAGCACTACATAGTTGTCCTTAAAATGGCAAGTGTCTCCTGACAAAAATGTATTGATCAGCCCACCCACTGGTAGCTTAGGGTTTCCCAGATGATTATGCTCCTGCATATTGGACTGCTGATGGGTTAAGGTACTTGTGCTGGGGATAGAGCAAAATGACACTGTGATTGGGTGATTGTAATTGTCATTGTGCTGCATGTGCAATCAATGTCCAATAGAGGTCATGGTAGGGATGCCTCAGTTCCCTGTGGATGGGGTCCGACCAGCCATTCACTCCCTTAGCAGCAGTTCTTCTAGCATGGAAAGTGAAAAGCAGCGTAAGTAAGGCTGTGAAAAAGCATTACAGGTGTAAAACACAGCGTTAATTGAATCTTGACACTCTGAGGGTCTTAGGAACAAGAGTAGCTGTCAACACTGCTGGCTTCTGCAGTACTGTATCTGGATATGGTTTTGCTGGCCCTGCAGTTTTGGTGGAGGATTGCGATTCACTTCCTGTTAAGTTACTTATGCACTGAACACTCAGTGAGTTTTTGGACCAAAACACAAGTTCATTAAAGCTGTTAGACAGCTTCTTTGCTCAGACTCCTGACAGACCTTTGGCATACACAGAAATTCCAATTTCAGACTCCTTGTCAGAGTGATGAATCCGTTCTGTTTGCATTCACTAGGTTTTTGGCTATTGAGTACATTCTTCTCAGACTGTCAATCTGATATTCTGTCAGCACAGTTGTAACACAGCAGTTTCATTGCTTCCAAGCTCATTTAGCATCCTCGATCATCTTTCTTTTTCTTTGTAAATGTTTGTGAAACCAGATTTACATACTAAAGCATGTACATCTTATGGTTTAGAGGGTGGAATGCTCATGTGAAATGCAGGCTGTATTAAATGTTACTGATACAACCTGGATGGTGTGTAAAGAGCAGTTATTTTAGCTGTTCTTAAATCTTTGCTCTTAAAATGATAGAAGGGGATTAAAAAATATATCATTAAGCCTACTTTGCCCAGTAGCATGTGACATTGTTACTTAATTGTCTGAAAATAATGTTTGGATCCAATTTACTTGTAAATAGGAAGAAATGGAAAAGAAATAATTTCAAATGGAACAGAACAGCATTCTGGTGCTCTGGAGATACCACATTCCCTCTTGTTAATTAAAGCTAATCTATAGAAAGACATCATCGTTTTCCAAAAAGTTTTATTGTGTTTTTCTTTTCTAAATTAGACTAGAATCTGGCATCTGAGACTGTTTAATTAACATTTACAATTCTAGTTGTTAAAATATATTCTTTTTTCAATCAAGTCTGAACTCATGATTTATAAAGATCACATATGCTTCCTTTAATAAAGGTTCCACTTTGGTGGACAATAACTCTTACTGTATTTCACATTACACTGTTTTTTAGGATCTCTAGGTGTGTTGGTTTTGTTCTGAGATTTGGATTTGTTGTCTCATGGTGTCTTTTAAATTGGATCCAGCTCATGTAGTAAAATGTACTCATCTTCCCTGAAGTTAGTCTCCTATTCTGCAGACCAAGAGCTGAATACAACTCCTGTTTTCTCTTCTATTTTCAATTCTCACCTCTTCTTCTATTCTCTCTTAAGGTCATGGCTTAGATTATTTGCTTTCTAAATCTTATTTGTAGACCTCAGAAGTAAAATATTTATTTTTTGCTTGTGTATGTATGATTGAGAATATAAGCGAGCTAGATCATTACAGTATAATATAAAGCTTTCTGGGAGGGTATTTGTTTTTAGGTATGGCTGATTATTTGTGTGAAGCTCAGGAGAGTAACGCAGATTAGACAAAGAAAGTTATCAGCCGGGTCAGAAGATAAAAATTATATAAATAATATAAAAATATAGTTCTACAGATACATTACTGTGGGCTTATGAGGACAGGCTGAGGGAGTTGGGCTTGTTCAGCCTGGAGAAGAGAAGGCTGCGGGGTGACCTCAATGCAGCCTATCAATACCTGAAGGGAACCTACACCCACGAGGGGAGTCTTCAAAAGGGCTGACAACAGCAGGACTAGGGGAAATGGATCCAAGTTGAAGGAGGGAAGATTTAGGTTGGATGTTAGGGGGAAGTTCTTTACAAGGAGAGTGGTTAGGCCCTGGAACAGGCTGCCCAGGGAGGTTGTGGATGCCCCGTCCTTGGACGTGTTCAAGGCCAGGTTGGACGGGGTCCTGGGCAACCTGATCTGAATGTGTATGTTTGGTGGCCCTGCTAGGCAGGGGGGTTGGAACTACATGATCCTTGAGGTCCCTTCCAACCCGGGTGATTCTGTGATTCTGTGATTCTGTGGGCTTTTCTTTTGAAAGTGGAGTCACATACTTGATGCCTGACGTGAGTTTACTCCATCAGCTTCAAGCACCATTTACAAGAAGATGGTGGCCCAGACTGTTAGAACAAAAGGATTGTCTTAGAGCTAGATTATCAGTGAATTTTATGTAATTATTTATTTCATTTGAAATGCTATGTAGATTTTACTATGTCTGAACATTATCATTTTGCTTTTAAAACATTTTGTACTGCACTGTCAAAATACAGGTGGTATTTGAGTTGCACATAATATTCTCTGATTCTGTGTATTTTTCTTGAAGTGAAATTAAAAGTTAATATGAGACTACAGGAAGTGGTCCTAACCTGGGCAGTCTGTGCTATCTGGCAGTAGCAGCCCTTCAGGTGTTTTGCCTAGAGATAGCCAGTACGCAGATCTTGATGCAGTTATTTTTGTAGAAACATGTCAGTGAGTTTTCAGATGTCAAACCTGAGAAAGTGGCTTGTCTGAGTGTCTTCCTGACACTGAGCTGAAGCTCAGAAATGCACAGTTGAGATTTGGGGTGACTTAAAACCTCAGGGGAGATTTGAAGGAATTAAAGGGGGGGGTGCATTAGGGATCAGAGGTGCAACCAGGCCTCTCCTAGGCAGAGCAGTTCTGAGCCACTTCCAGCTTTGGCAGATGGTGCTTTCAGCTGCCAGGCAGCAGGAGCATTGGAGAGGTGGCAGGTGCTGCTGTGGTTCTGCTGAAGGCAGCGCATGCTACCAGCAGCAATGGGAAGGGTAGCTGTGAATCACTTCTCAGGTTGAGTTGGTCCCAGGTAGCCAGCCAGAATGACATATGGTGTGCATGTCTGCACCATGCAGGAGAGAACAGAGAAATCACAGAGAGGGAATTTGGAGAAGACTGATGAATTCTTATTTTCACCACTGTATATTGGCTTCTGAGAGAAAAGGAAGAGCCAAGAAGAGCTTACACAGGATGTGGTATGGGTTAGCTCAGCCCTGCCACAATAATTTCTTTCAGAATTTCCTTCTGACACTGGTTTGGGCTGCTCACATGACACATACGTTACACTGCAAAGCTGAGGGGCTCAGCTTACTTCTGCTCTGAGCAATGGATGAGACATCAGGAACCAAAATTATTTTTTCCATCCTCCTCTTATAAGAATAAAATTGTCATGTGTGTGTTATGAGCCTAAAGGCATGGACTATAAAAGAAAAAATGGTTCTTTATAGTACTCAGCTCCAAGAAGAGACTACATTTGCTGTGTTATGCAGCAGCCTATGTGCCACGTAGTCCGTATCTGCCCCAGCCACACTCCAGGTCTCCTTGGCACTGCCATGCCCTCCTGCACACGGTCTTGGCGCTGCCGCATTGCTCCCCAGAATGCACCCACAGGCCAGCTGTACTGCTGATTGCTTTTGTGGGCCTGTCAGCAGCAGCTGGTGCTCCTGCAGTGTTTGGCACCATGGCAGTGCAGGGGCTTTTTGGGAAGCAGGAGGTAAACATGTAATCTGAGGATAACAGACATGCTGCTCCTGCCCCAGCTGGCAGCTGTCCAGCATGGCAGGGCTGGGGCTGTGCCAGGATTTGTAATGACCATGAGAAAAATAGAAAGAAAAGTGTGTGCAGTCCCAAATCTCACTCAGTGTTTTCCTTTCAAACTTTTTGAAAGGAGTTTTATTGCTAGGAGCAGGAGCCCAATGGAGGAAGGAATGATTAAGGAAAGGACACAGCTTCATTTTTCCATCTTTTGCAAAGTGATGGGAATTCAAGTAATCAGACAGTGGCAGAAGGGTATGGCAGACCTGCACTGTGTGAGGTAGTGGGCACATTCACCCTGTAGCTTTGCTCTGCTCTCTGTGCAGGTATTGTGGTTCTAACCAGGAAAAACAGTGTTGAGAACTGACTTCTGCGCTGTGCAAACCAGGTGCCTGAGCTGTTTTTGAAATTTAGACATGATGTCCTCTGACTTTGTCCTGTAGGACAAAGGGGAAAAAATACTAAGAGCACTTCCATTATAAATACTGACTATCAGAACAAAGGCTGAAACAAGAGGAGCAGAAGAGTGGTTTTGTTTTGTTTGTTTGTTTGTTTTTGTTTTGTTTTGTTTTTTGTTGTTGTTGTTTTGTTTTTTTGTTGTTTTTTGTATTTGTTTTTTTCCTTTGGGCTCAATGCTGAGTCAGAAATAGAGTAAAAGCCTTCAGACTGATTAGTGCATACAGCTGAGGAAGCCATGCAAAGTAATGCTTGTGCTGCAGGAGTGATAAAGAACAGAAAGTTAAAAACAGCAAAAAGTATGTGCTTTTCAAAGGCATGTTCATTCTACTTAAACATAAGTTTATTTCAGTTGTGATTTCTTTGAAAACTTTAATACTGTTCGTTACAATGTGTTAATAACTGGTGTTCCTCTGTGTGGTAGAACAGCCTAGCTTTTTGAGTTCATCCAGATTTGTATACAGAAGAAGATGCTTCAAGTTGGTGCTAAAATACAGATTATTTCACTAATCTAGAATTAGATGTACATTTTCTGGTCTTGTGGGGTTCCAAATGCAAGAACGACACAGATAAAATTTTTTTTGTTTTTTTTTTTTTAATTTGTTTTTCTTTTTCTCTTTTTTTTTTTTTTTTTTCTCTTTCCATAGGTTCGTCATCGGTGGTGTGAACTTGTTGTTAAACACAAATATGTGTCTGGATATGGAGATATTGAGAAATTTCTCAGAGAAGATCAGGTCAGTTGGATTTAATCAGCATCTTCAAAATAATCACCTTTCACACCTTCTTGAAACCAGTGGTGTGACATTAAAAGCTTGTTTTATTGCATCTACTTGCTACAGTTGAAATGCAGAATAAGTATTCAGTTTTTCCGTTTCCTTAAGCTCTATAATTTAAGGAGTCTACCAACGTGGTGATCAGCTCCACAAAAGCATGCTAATCTTACGGTAGCTGGTAAAATATGGTATATTCTCTCCCACTGCTTCCATTATATGCAAGCCAGAGGAAAAAGCGATGCTAGGAAAATGATATAACAACATCATTTATGACAACAATATATATTGTGCTGTTGAGCATATTTTAATCATATGGAAGGATGCAGATATGCACCATCGGAAAGGGGAAAACATCATCAAGTTCACACAAGCATATTGATTTTCTTTATGTTTGGAACAAATATGGTTATAAATAAGTACAAATGTTTTCCGGGAAAGAAATTTTGCAACATTTTTTTTCATGTAATCTTCAATATCTTTCACTGAGTTTATTCCAACAGTAGAAACAGTTCATGGCACAACCAGATTCTGGAATCATTCCAACTCAAATCAGAGTGATTGCGTATCCTTCCTGATAATGAGAAACTTGGAAATATTTTATTTTTTAAGTCTGGGAAAAATGCAAATGTGGCTATTGAATTCTCTGCAGGATTACGAAAGATCAGAATGTTTGTTGCATTTTAATGTTAAGGTTTAGGGAAAAAATATTAATACTGGGTAGAAAAGCTAATTTCTATTTGAAACAAAATTCCATCGTTTTGACATTCACCATAAAAACAACCCAAACCCAGCTCCAAGGCAGTGTGATCTCCAGCTGCAGATCCTGGAAATCAGAGCTTTGGGTCTCAGGATGCAGGGCAGTGTGGTTAGGGCACTGTCACATCATCTGGCAGACTTATGTCTGACCGAGACTGCTCCCTTTGATTTCAGCTAGTGTTAGATTATAAATTCCACTATTAAAGCTTAATTTTTAATCTCACCAGTCAATCTTAGAAATTGTGAGAAACAGTATTACAAACTGTTTTTCAATATTATTCCTCTTTTTCCTCTCTTGCAACTGTCCAAGCATTAAGTAAAACTGTAGAAGCTAATGTGCTATTGTTTCATGTAATCCGGTTTTGATAAGTGCAGTTTAATACTTGAATCAAATTATAATTTGATTAAAAGCTTCTATCTTCAGAAGAGAGAGAGGGGAAAAAAAAGCTTTGCCTGATGCATTTCCCATGAAATTAGCCAGTGCTTTGCTACCTGCTATCAAAGGGGCCCACATCTTACTCCCACATGTTCGGCTGTCTGGTTTTGTTCAGGATGAGCACTAAGAGACATAATCCTGACAGAAGGTTCAGCCACGTCTCAGATGTCAATAAGAAAGTCTGAAACACAGACCTGGCCACACATTCTTGATTTTGAGTTACAGAATTGCCAGGTGGGAATTCTGGAGTGGGTGTTCCAGCTGATGTGCCCTTCATTAGTGTATGTGGAAACGTCTCAGTTGGAAAGAAAATGTGTATCCTGTTGAAGGAAGGACAAGCTGGTTTCCTAAGGGGCATTTGGAAATATTTCAGGTAGTGGTTAAAAGAAAACAGATTTCAACTTCAAAAGTGGCAAGAAAAATGGGGCGAGAAAACACTTTCTTGTCATGACATTTCTTAAATTAATATTCTTTTTTTCACTCTCAACACAACACATAGGCAATCTTAGGCCACAGAGAGCTAGCGAAAACTGCATTCTGGGGAAAGTTGTGCTATAGAATATAAGGCCTTTTCTGTGGTGTTTTTGAATTAAATGAGTATTTGGAGGCCAACAAAATGAAAACCATCCAACTAGTCATAACAGGATGACCGTATGTTATGTTCTTCTTTCAGGCAATGGGTGTGTATCTCTATGGTGAATTAATGGTGAATGAAGATGCCAAACAACAAGAACTTGCATACAAATGCTTTGCTGCAGCACAAGAACAAATGGATATGTCCTCAGCCGAAGTGGTGGCAGAGATGTTATTTTGAAGAGGTGAATTTTCTTTTTAAATTAAACATGTTGATCTGCCTCAAAAAGGAAGAATATGCAGAGCTCACAAAACATAGTAAACCTTGGCATACCACAGAACTTGTGGCTGCTTAGCTCAAGAAGTAACTCTTGTTTAAATATCTTCTTTTTATTAATTAATTTTTTTTTTTTAAGCTCAGCTGCTGGAGTGTGAGTTAGATGTATAGGCACTTGCTGGAGAGCATGGAAATGCTTTGCTGTAAGCTTTGTGCTGGATGTACGAAGGGCAGTTGTAAGTCAGAATGGCCAGGAAAGGCCAGGTTCCACCTACAATTGTTTTCTATTCTGTATTCTTAACTCTGTCTACAGCATACTGTATGAGAAGCATTTCTGTTTAACAAAGCACACGCTGATTGTACAGGTAGTACAGGTCTTTGAAAAGAATGTGAGCCCCAAATGGAAGTTGTTCTCACATGATTCAGATTTGGTTTGAAGTGCACAATTTGTTCTTCACAACCATGTAGAGTGTAGTCAGGTGTTTGGAGACTGGTTATAAGATAAGAGTAGCCTTAGCATAAAGATGCTGGTTAATATCATACAGAATCTAATTTGTTTCTGAAATTAATATAGAAAATTCAGTAAAGAAGCAAAATTGCAACAAATATTCACAAAATAAAGATTGCTGTAGAAGGAGGTTATAAATTATTATTTGCAAAGATATTCACTATCTGTCAGTCTATTTGAATTGCTTCTCAGTGTTTGTACACGTATTAAACATGAAGCCAGATAGGATTAGTGAATATCTCTTCCAGTATACCTCACATTTTTGCTTCATGATATAGCTCGCCTGACAGACTGATTGCCTTGACTTTGGTTTCAGAATTAAGGCTTCTAATTTAGCAAAACCATTTTTTTCTAATTGGTACTTAGTAGGAATCTTGATTACTTTTTTCCTCCTATTCAAGCCTGTACATGTGGCATTACTTGAATGTAAGTTCCACTTGAATTCGTTGCATATATTTTTGTGAAGTACAGCAGATGCCATGAATACAAGTTTGTTTATAAACAGTTCTGTACATGTCTGTCTATACATGTTCTGTATAGGCAAGCAAAATGTCTGTTTGAAAACCTTTGTGGGAAATGTGGTGGAGACTGAAGAGTGCAAGGGTAGCAGTTATAAGGAGAAGATGCCTTCTAAATAAATAGACCTACGGGACTCGCTTACATGGTCTCCCATTTATCAGGGGCGCACAGTAATTGGAGTTACATACAACATTTTACAATCTGGTAGATGCCAGGAATAGGAAGATGCGGTTTGTTCCGGTACTACAATACTTGGCACCATCTTTCTATATTTCTCTAAATAGTGACATAAACTTTTCTACAACTTCTGGTGGTAAGTATCTGTTTAGCATAGGAATATTATATATTAGCTATGCACAATAGTCTAGAATTGCTGTTTGACTTTTTAGACAGATTAGAAATGCATAGTGAGCTATAAAATAAAAGCTAAAGTGCCACTAGGAATGTGTCTGTGTGACTGCACAGGCTTCTTTTAATGTTGTGGCTGTTTGGGTTCCTGGCATGATGATTTGTGAGTTAAGATTAAAATCACATTGCCAGGGATTACCACATAGCCATGACCACAGCTGCTACTCTGAAAATGACTGTAACTATCTGATAACACGTACACTGCGGCATCCTCTCCATCCATTAAACAAAAAAGTCCAAAGAGGAAAGGAGCAGACGCATCATGGAAGAATCTCATCTGATAATTAGTGGTACTGAGACGGAGACCTCTCTGGCGAGGTGCAGAGCTTAGCTGATTGGTGAACAGTGATTGTTTCCCTCTTTGTTCACAGTGGCTAAGTTCTGCACCTGAAGAGAAGGTGAGATGAGGATGTTTCTTAAGTGTCAGCCTGCGCAGGGTGGAGACCATTTGCTACTTGACGGGCAGCTTTGCAATTAGTGCTGGTGTGCCAAATACAGTGTGGAATGGCTAAGAGGCAGAGGCAGTTGGAGAGGACCAAAGACATTCTTTTTTAGTTGAAAATAAACAGCACTCCTTCTGTCTGACTGCAAAAATAGGGTATTTCCGACGGTAACATGGTTATAGAGCTTTTCTAAAGGTCAGAGGAAATTAGTGTTTGTGATGTTAAACTGGAATTATCTGTAAAGCTTTGTTTTGTAGGCTCTTCTTCAGTGTATACTCCCATGTTTTCTCTGCAGCTGTAGCTTAGTACTGTGTATCGTTTGCAGGAAATGGTTGTTTCCGACTGGAGCTGCCACTACGGCTGCTGCTGTTGTCCCGAGCATGGATGGACCCGTCCTCCGGTGCCTACTGAGCTGATATCAGTTCTGATTTTACATACTGGCTCAGTTCAGCAGGAACAGGAGTCGAGCCCTAAAGCAAAAAAATATATATATAATAAAAATTAAAATTAAAATTAAGAAAAATATAGATGTGCCTTTTCTAAGAGCCTTTGAAAAATGTTGTTATTGTCTTCTCTATAAAATCAAGTTAGTGTACATTATGCTGTCCTGACGTTAAACACCATACTCTTAAGGTGGAAAAGCTACCTCAGTACTGTTTAGAGAACTATTGGCTTGTGAAAAGAGGTATGTGGACATGTATAATATTGCACAGCATTACCCTGATAACGCCTCCAGCATTATTTTCAGAGTAACCTGCTAATAACTGGGGAAATTGCTTGTTCTTTGGCTCTTCTGTGTCTTCTCTTAACATTGTTGTGGTATCTCTAAGGAAATCTCCCTTCCCAATGCTCAGAGTTTTATCGCAGAAGATGTAGCGGGAAACAGTGCATTTAAAATACAAATTCAGCTTTGTTAACGTTGTAACCACAGTTATGCTCTGCTAGTAACCTAAAAAATAACATTTCAAAATAAGGAATACAGAGATACTGCTTTATTTTCACGGAATAATAACTTTCACTGCTCTTTCCGTTACAGGAAAGATCACAGAGAAATTCATTTAATCTATCTCCTACTAAACCTCGGTGGTGTAGGATTTCCTTGACCCAAGACATCAAAAGAAGGATTAAGTGACTGCTAAAACAATCAGCTGACAGAAACATTTACCTTTCAGTATTTGTTTTCCAGAGGTTCACTGTAACCAAGAACAGGTAAAAATGCAGAGACACAAACTGGCTTTATGCACACAAACACACGCTCTATTGTGGCTCTAAGTAGTCCTTACAATACAATTTGACAGGAATTGATGAAACTTTATTCTGTACTTAAGATTTTGTTTTAACTTCTACACCACTTCAGAAAGTTACATAAAATTAGCTGGATGGTAGAGTGGGGAGATTAATTAGAAGATGGAATAATCTCTGGAAGATGACCAGCCATTGATACGGTGATGGGATGGGACTGAAAGAAAGATTAAAATTGTTCCTGTCTTGGTAAGGTTAACTTCTACCAGAAATGTACCTCTCAAATTCTGGAAATATCTTCTACAGCCCTGTTCTACTCCTTTTTTCTTCACTCTGTACACTATTGCTTTAAATCTAATTCTTGTAACAATAAATATGTTTTTCAAATATGTGTAGTTTCTCCATTGAATAGTAGTTCAAAGTTAGTTTGTAAACCTAAAAAGAAAAAAAAAAAAAGCAGCATTTCAAATTCCACAGTAAGACAGAAGAAGCCAAATGTGGTTAATAGATATTAACAAGAAAAATTACACTGGAAAAGTCCAGTGCATGCAGTTTCTTAAAAGCCTACCTCACTGAAGACATGAGCCCAAGGAGTCCCATTCCTCTATACTTCGCCTGCTTCCTCACATCCTCCCTATGGGTACAATGTTGTCACCTGAATTACAGATCAGGCAGCACCTTCTGAATGTAGAGGAGTTGGGAAATCTATCAAATGCATGCTGATATACTGCGATTGTAATTGTAAAATATTCTTGTAATGCAGTTACACTCACAAATGTATTAAGGGATCCCATCTTTTTATAAAAGAGTTATTCTTTGTTTCACTAGGTTTTTCTGCAAAGGCCAGCAAAAAAAGTCTGCATGCTTTTTTATTTCTTTTGCTGCATCATGGAAAGAACCCAAAGCTGAATGAGACTCTTACACAAGACACCTAAATTTAGTATAAGTATTGTTCTTAGTCAGTACTGTGAAAGCTATCCAGCATATGAGATGTTCCATACTTTGCAAATATCATCAAATATCTGTAAAAACAGTTACTTTTCCTGCCTTATTTTTCATTTGCTCGCTGAGGACAGCTTCCTACAGCTGTTGCAGTCTGTTTAAACAATATAAACAAGAACATGCCTTTGAACATTGGTGGCCCTCACACAGCTTTGTCCTTCATTGTGAAAATTCAACAGCAAATGAAAAGCCTAACATATAACCTAAAAAATGGCAGAGAGAAGAGCCCTCATCCTGCAGCTGAGGCTATATGGTCACTTGTTGCTAATCCAAGACCTGCTGAATTGAGTGAGGCTTTAGATTAAGAAGTTAGAGTGGCTTCACATGGTTTATTTCTTGCTACTGGTGCCAGTAACTGAGACTGTTGTATCTATGAAAGGGTGGCTTCATTAGCCTGATAGAAACAGTAGCATTAGTTTCAAATATTTGTCAATATGTAAAAACCTCCTGGAGTGAAACACACAAAATTTATTTCGATAAATTCTAGTAGAATCTGGTGAAATTCTATCAGAAAAAACTAAATGCAGAAACTTTTGTACTGTTTATTTTTCTCAAAATTCTCCTAACTTGAGGTGTACCTATGTTAATTTCCTTGGAGGAAGGTGTTGTGGATACTGATTAGTTTTGTAGTAAATAAAAGTAAGGAAAAAGAAAAAAAAAATCCAAATATATTATAACTTACTAAAATCATCACTTGAAGTGATTTATTACCAGTTTTTTTTACATCTGTACAGGTCTGACTATCAGCACCTTAAAATCTGGTGAGATCACCATTTTGCTCTTTAAACACTCTTTTGGTTAGCAGAGTCTGACACATGGGGAACATGGCAGAAATGTTGTGGCATTGTTGAATCTCTTTGGAGGTGAATGCTGTCTTTTAGAGCAGCAACATTGCACGGGCAGTCATGTAGGTGTGTTCTTGCTCTACTTGTTTGCGTTTCATCCTGTTCTGTTTCACAGCCGATCTAGACTGAATCACATAAAGCATTTCCCCTTCCACCACTCCCACTTTAGTCCTTCCCATACTGATGGCTTTGCCCTGGGTAGCACTAGAGGTCCCCATGCAAAAAGCTGGGTTGTGTCCCACGTATTGCACCTGGGCAGCAGATGCTTAGGATCTAACTGATTCTAGCATTTAACTGTAAGAATTGAATCTCAGATTAAGCTAAAACTGTGCCTGTCTGTGAAGCTAGGCAAGGAGCACCATCTGTTTTTCTGAGGGTCTCTTGCTTAGAGGAAAGCAGCCTATAATGAATCTGTGTGCAAGATAGCTCATACCCCCAGATGAGACGCATTCCTGATCATATGCTTTCTGTTACAAATACAGCTTAAAGCATACCAATTTGCTGACAGCAGTTCCCCTGCTTTGTTTTGTCTTCAGCTTTGCTGGGATGTACTTGCAGCTGCTCCAGCTCTGTGCTTTCTCCTTCAAGGGGGAATTAAGTGTACCAGTTTGCACGTTCCTCTCACATAATGGGAGGAAGCAGATCTGGCCTGGAGACAACACTCACCAGCAGTGCTGCCTGAGTGAGAATGTTGAGCCTGGGGCATGAGGAGCCAGCATGGATTTCTGCCAGCGATGACGTGACATGGCAGAGGGGCTGTGGTGGGCAGCTCAGCTCTGGTGGCACTGCAGTTACAGCTGGGTAGCGAGCAGACAGAAACACTCTTTGCTAATAGGAGAGATTTTAAAGCAGAGTTTTTCTGACAACAAGTATGTGTGTACTACTGAAAACAAAGGATTCTTTGCGAAGACACAGCAAACTGTGTTTTGCTACACAAAATGGTGAAGGGCTTCAGGAGGCTGGAAATCACTGCTCGGATAACACAAAGAATAACGGGATGCTAAGCTGTATGAAAAATGGTACTACAAAAAAAAAAAAAAAATTATATGCCATCATAATATGTAATGCAGCCAGCCAGCTTATGTCTTCACAGCTGCTGGAGTTCCTGCTAGTGAGCATTAAATCAGTTCTATTACGGAAGATTTTAGTAATTGTGTTTAAATGTGTAAATAAGTGGGAGGAAACCAGAGCATCTTGGTATAAACTAGCAGTCACTTTACTGAGCAGCTATTGATTGTTTCCTTTTTCTGGTAGAGTATTAATTATTCTGTAGAAAATACCTCTTCCCTCCTGCACACTGGGCTTCACTTTAGAAGTGGCTGTACTCCATTTAGCTTTCCTGCTTCTTTCTCCACTACCCATGTTCCCATGTCATCTCTCCACAGTGCAGTGCCCACTACCACTGCAGTTTGGTGCCCCAAATGCACTGTCATCACAGTTCAATCTGGGTTTCAGGAGTAGGTTTTTCACCAGAGGACAGTGGACATGGCTTCAGGCTGCCAAACTTCAAGGAGCATTTGGACAATGCTTTCAGACATAGGCTTTGAGTATTCCATGATTCTGTGATTCCCTGTTGTTCTATGCAGAGGCTTCTCAATACTATTCCTTCCACAAGGAGTCTGTGGAGTATTAGGAAGTGTCCAGGGAGGCCACACTGCTCTGGGCCGGGGACACTTACCTGCTGCAGGGCAGTCCAGGCCTTGTGCTGTGGCTCTCTGCTGCCAGGTGCTGAAGCCTAGCTTTGTGTTCAGTGTCCTTGCTCCTATGTGTCTATTCCTAAGCATATGGTTTTAAAGTCAGGAGTGAATTATTTGGAAGCATTCAGATCTTTACATCTTTGACTTAATGGGATTTTCCCCTGAGCAAAGCACTCCTTTAATGTAATAATGTGGTTCTGCAACAGGACTGCACAAACCCTCACATAGAACACAAAATGTTACTCTTTAATTCACTGCAAACCTGATTCTGGAACACTGAATCTCAGTATCTAAAAGCATATTAAATCAATGATATTTTTTTAAACAAATTCAAAATAACCACCAGTGTGGCACTGCAATTCCCAGTATCCATGAGATTTTTTTGTCCCCTATGAGAAGCAAAGTTTCAGCAGATATGTGTGTTGGTTAAAAGCAGTTACATTTTTGGCCCCAATCTTAGATGCCCTGACCAGTGCTCCAGAAAATGAATTTACTGCAGAAAAGACAAGGAAGTGAACAGAAAAGGAGCCTCTTGAATCTTACCATAAGTCCATCAGGGTTAGGCACATAGCAGTATTAGGGTGCACATACACACTGACATGAAGGTGACCCCTTGTTTTGGTGATCACTTCATATTGGAATAATTATTTAAGGAAATCCTCTCGTTGGTAGGCTGAGATTTTATATCGGTGAAAGATGCCAGTTTAGAAGGAAATTGAGATGTCTGCCCAGTGTCTGGGAAATAAAATGAACTTATCCATCTACTGTGGCTAAAACTAACTGTATAATGCTACACAACACTAAGTCCCAATTTCTTTCTACCTGTAGCTGCCAAAAGAACTGGCATTTGCCATAGCTGTTATTTAAAGGCATCATAGAATCATAGAATCACAAAATCACAGTATGGCCTGGGTTGAAAAGGACCATAATGATCATCCAGCTTCAACCCCCCTATTGTGTGCAGGGTCGCCAGCCACCAGACCAGGCTGCCCAAAGCCACATACAGCCTGGCTTTGAATGCCTCCAGGGATGGGGCATCCACAGCCTCCTTGGGCAACCTGTTCCACTGTGTCACCACCCTCTGTGTGAAAAAATTCCTCCTAATATCTATTCTAAACCTCCCCTGTCTTAGTTTAAGACCATTCCCCCTTGTCCTATCACTATCCACCTTGTAAACAGTCATTCCCCTTCCTGTTCATACATTCCCTTCAACTACTGGAAGGCCACAATGAGGTCTCCCCGAATCCTTCTCTTGTCCAAGCTAAACATCCTCTGGGCAACCTGTGCCAATGCCTCGCTGCCATCATAAAGAAGAATCTCTTCCTAGGATCAATTCATAATCTCCCCTCTTCTAGTTTAAAACTGTGTTTATAACAGGTAAGAATCAAAATTATCAAAAACGACCCTCTCTCTCCCAAAGCATGGCAAAGACAGAATTTTCTGGCACATTTCACAGGTGCTGAGGGCCCTCTGCACCTAGCACAGTCAGGGAAGAGGCACTGACTTTGATCAGCTGAAGAACCACAGCACAGGAATGCTTCAGAGTTATGACAGAAAACTGAATTGACAAAAAAATTGTGAAACTGGCACCCCAACACACAGCATATAGCAGCCTCCTCCACATTTCCTTTATATTCACAGGGATGGCCACACTGCAGTAGATGTTAGCGAATGGTCTTAAGACAGAGATAAGTTGTTAGGATATGCAGGGAGAAAATCAGAAAGGCAAAAGCCAAACTTGAACTCAACTTGGCCACTGAGGTAAAAGAGATCAAGAAACTCTTTTACAAATATATTAAAAGTAAGAGGATACCAAGGGGAATCTGCAATCTTTACTGGATGCATCT